ACACAGCTATGCTTTTAATTCACGATAAAACACACAAAAACAATCTAGCTAACACTGTAAGACAAGAAAATGCTTTATTTATTTACCTAATTATTAAAATTTTAAACTTGAGAAAAGTGTAATTGGTGGTGCATGGTTTTTTTTGTTTTTTTTTTTTTTTTTGAGACAGAGTCTCGCTCTGTAGCCCGGGCTGGAGTGCAGTGGCCGGATCTCAGCTCACTGCAAGCTCCACCTCCCGGGTTTACGCCATTCTCCTGCCTCAGCCTCCCGAGTAGCTGGGACTACAGGCGCCCGCCACCTCGCCCGGCTAGTTTTTCGTATTTTTTAGTAGAGACGGGGTTTCACGGTGTTCGCCAGGATGGTCTCGATCTCCTGACCTCGTGATCCACCCGACTCGGCCTCCCAAAGTGCTGGGATTACAGGCTTGAGCCACCGCGCCCGGCCGGTGGTGCATGTTTTTTTAAGCCAAAGATAAATACACAAATCCACTTTAGTGTCAAAAGGCATCTTCTCAGCCGGGTGCGGTGGCTCACGCCTGTAATCCTGGCACTTTGGGAGGCCAAGCCGGGTGGATTACCTGAGGTTGGGGGTTCAAGACCAGCCTGGCCAACATGATGAAACCCTGTCTCTACTAAATACAAAAAATTAGCCGGGTGCAATGGTGCTTGCCTGTAATCCCAGCTACTCTGGAGGCTGAGGCAGGAGAATCACTTGAATCCAGGAGGCGGAGGTTGTGGTGAGCCTAGATCATAACACTGCACTACAGCCTGGGCTACAAACCAAGACTTCATGGCGGGGGGCGGGGTGGGGGGGAGGACATCTTCTCTACTTAATGTAACTCACTAAGTTAATGAACATCTAAGTAACGTTAACAACTTAAAATACCTCTATGGTATTTAGCAAAGAAGATTAATTTTCATTTCTCAGGTGAATTATTTGCAATTTCACATAATTTCACTCATTACAAACCTCATCTACACTGGTTACACATAAGTTTCACTTTCAGAGTCTTTACTACTCAACTACAGGGTCTTTTCTGCATGGATTCTTAGACAATATAGAGATAGACAATTGAAAAACCTTCTCTTTGCTTTCCAACTCATTTGTTAGTTTCCATTTACGTTTCTAAATACAACTGGAGATTCCATTCCCTTCAAAAGACACAATTTCAAAAAAAAAAAAGCTCTAAAAAGTTTAGACCTGTCAAATTTACCAGTAGACTTTACTTTCCTACAAAGAATGCAGTACTAGTTTTCAAATCTAAAAGAAAAAGCTCTCTAAAGACTTACATTTGTTCTACATATTTCCAAAAGTTTTGATGTTTCATAGTGTTAGGTTACACTGCCATTCAGCAGAAATTTATTTTCTCCAAAGGCTACCTATTTCTTCATAATATGAGATTAAGAATTAAAATAATAAAGTGGTAATATCCTCATCGTCCAGTGCACCCAGGAGCTGCACTAATACAAATGAGCTCATTTCAAAAGTAGAGTGTGTGTGCGAGTGTGCGCGTGCGTGTGAGTGTGCGCGTGTGCATGAGTATGGGGTGTGGGGTGTGACAACATAGATCTACTCTTTCTAGGGTAAGAATTAAAATGCAAATTTAAAACAATAATCGCAAATTAATGTTCAGTAAAAGATGAAGAAATGCTTTTCAAATAGTGAAATGGGAGGCAATCAAGGTAAAACCCCAATATGGCTTGTCCTCAGTTGCTTTAAAGGATGCAAAAGTGGCTTAGACGTCTAAAAATTACTTAAACCTCCACTTCCTTCTCCAAATTTCAGTTAATATAGAGTAAGGGTATTTTATATTCGCCATTATATTACAACGCAAGTGGCATAGTAAATAAGCCCTAACTCTGTATCCCGAAGAAGCTACCGTAATAATGTATACACATCCTGTACTCGCTTCCCTCAGGATTATCATAGCTAGGTAAGAGCTAGCAATAAAATATGGAGGCAAGTTGAAGGCCCTGAATCATTTCATAGTAAAAGGACACCCGGGCAAGAAAAGAGCACATTCAAGTCAAGAGCTTAATGGGTTCCCACAACCCACCTCTGCTATGCCTCAGTTCACGCTACTATTTTTACTACAAATCACCAAACAACAATATTATTACTAAATGAATGCACCCGAACCAAAGAAACAGCCTATCCATGAACGTGCTGGCTTCCTTCATGTCTCAGCGCACCCTTCCAGTCCCGACAGTTCAATGAGAATATCATATCATGAAATGAGTAAGCACACACGCCATTCTACAACTTCGAGAGACAGTCACAGTTCTTCCACGGCACACACAAGAGCCACAGAAGCCAAGCAGTTCGCTGGCACTAAAACGGGTTTCTTCATTTACAGGCAAAGCCGTCAAATACCGTTCTGTAAGACATTTCTGGTCCTCTAATAAGCTGGTGTCGAGCCCTACTGTATGCTCAAAGGCAGGCGAACCTATTCCCAAGCCCCTTACAGCTAAGACTGACGAGAGAAGCCACATTTACATCTGCACTGTCTCCGAATAAGCGCTCTTGGTATTCTGCCTTACGAGGGGACACTGGCTACGTCTCCAAAACTTGGGCAGGCCGTTCCCCGAAGCTATGGGATCCCACAGAAGTTGTGCTTTCGGAGCCCGGGCGTGCGGTTCTGGGTGTTGGGGGAGGGGGAAGGAAGAAGTCAAATGGCTTCCTAATATATCATCAAAAGAAGAAAACACAGGTTTGGGACCAGGAAAAGTTCCAGGAGCAAGTCGCTGACAAACAAAAGCTGCACTCGCCCGGCCGCTTTCTTCTCGCCCCCAGCCCGCGCCCCGAGACCACCCGGTCCGGGCGTTTTGACAGCTCCGAGAGTTTCCCGAGCGCCGACGGCTCGGCGGTTCGCCCGGAGTCCGTCCGGGGACTACCTGGGCGCGCTCCGGGTTTGTTTTCTCAATGATCCAGCTAGGCCAAGACGCGGCTACGAGAAATTTCTCCAAAAGAAGACTCGCGGAGAAGACCCAGCGAAAAGGCCCGACTGAAAAGTAAAGTGTGCGGAGCCCGGCGCCGGCGGGAGCCCGGGCGGGCGGCGCGGAGCGGGGGAGGCCGGGCGCGGGCGGCTACCGAGGGGCGCGGGGCCGGGGCCGGGAGCCGCCGCCGCCCGCGGGCCCGCCCCGCCCCCACCCCGCCGGGGGGCGCCGGGGCGCGGAGGCCGCGGGGCGGGCGCCCGGTGACAGCTCCGGCCCGGCGCCGCCGCTGGCTCCCGGCCTGGCTCCCTCGCACTCAACTTACTTCTTTCTGGCTCTCTGGAAAGGGGAAGCGCCATCTTTGCGAGGCCGGCCCCGAGGTCTTTTGTCTGCGGCTGCGGGGCTCGGGGCCGGGGCTCCAGGCTCCTCGGGGGGTGGTGGCGGCGGCTGCGGCTGCTCCACGCTCTTGTCCTCCTCCGACGACATCCTAGTCACCAGGAAAGACACATGGATCCCGGTCCTCCTCCTGGGGGGCTCCTCCCGCCGCCGCGGCCGCCGCCGCCGCCGCCGCTGCTGCTCGGGTTCCTCCTCCCCGGCTCAGCCTCTCGCATTTCCCGCAGCCCCGGGAGCAGCAGCAGGTACCGGGAGAGGCGGCAACATGGAGCGAGCAGGACACGCACTCACACACATCGGCGCGGGCGCGCGCACCTCCGCGCGCAGGGGCCGGGCGGGGGGCGGCGGGCGGGGCGGGCGGTGCGGGGCGGGCGGGGCCGGCGGGTGCGGGCGGGCGGGGCAGCCGGGCGGGCGGGCGGCGTGAGGGGCGCCGGCCCCCGGGGTCTCCGCCCGCGGCCCCTCCCCCGGGCCGCCCGCGGCGGGAGGAGAAAGGGGCCCGGCGCGGGGAGGGCGGGCCGCGGGGCCGGGCGGGGGCGGCGAGGGGGTCGCGCCCCCGGCCGGCCGCCCCTCCCCCGCGCGTCAGGCCCGTCAGGCCCGGGCGGCGGCGGCGAAGTTTTGACAGCTGCTCCAGTGGCGGCGCTGGACGCCGGGCCGCGGCTCGCTCCTCACACTCGCTCTCTCACACACGCTCGCTCGCTCTCCCGGAGCAGGGGAGGAGGAAGTTTTGCGGGTGTGCGTGGACCCCACACACACGCCGCGCGACCGTGGCCGTCGCGCGAGGCCCGCGCCGGGGCTCCCCCGGGGCGACCCGCACCACAGACCTCTCCAACTCGCAGCCGTCGCGCCCACACACCGCCGCCTCGACGGCCCCCGCCCGCTCCCCCACTCTCGGCCCCTCGCCCGCCCCCCGCTCGCCGCCGCTGCCACTCACGGGCCTCGCTCCGCGCATGCGCCGCTCCCGCCGCCCGCGGACGCGCCGCCGCCGCTGACCTCACCGCCCCTCCCCCTCCCCCCGGGTTCCCTCCCCCTGTGACGCGGCGGCCGGGCCCAGCCGCGACTCCGGCTCCGGCTCCGGCTCCGGCTCGGGAGGGAGCCAAGCTGTGGACCCAGAGATCCGGGATCGGGATCGGGGGACTGCGGGCGAGGGCGGGAGGGAGCCGCGGACACACGCCGAGGCTGCCGCGGCCGCCCGGGGCAGCCCGGCGCGGGGAGCAAGTGTGCGCCCGCACGGCAAGGGCAGCCCGGGCTTCGCTGGTTCTCGCCGAGGTCTTTCCTCGTAGCGCCCACACTACGGGGAGGAAAAGGAATGGAGTCAACTTCGTCCTAATCCAACGCCAGTTAGAGTTTCGTTATTATAACGTCATTTTTTTAATCCAGAAAAGGTTCATAAGGATGTAATACGAAAAGAACGATGACAGCTCGAGAAATAAAACGGTTAAAGACAAAATAAGCCAATAAAAACCCAACCACTTGATTTTAACGTTCAGTGTGTTGTGACGAAGAGGCAAATTTCGAAGTATTTCTAAGCCACCTCTTATATGTAAAAATGGTAAAAAGAAAAATGGGGCTAGAATCTGCCTGAAAAATGCACTTTCTCAAGGAGGACAGTTACAAATATGGGATTCTGGATTTCTCAGGCTAATACCTGATGCTTGGACGATGATCTATTTTGTGCTTTCCATTCACTATCGATTAGTATATGGGAGTGAACAAATTCTAGATTTGAATAGGGGAGAAATAGTAAGACCTATCAACCATTTGTGAAGGATTGACTCATTTAATAAGCATCTACTTTGGGCCTGGCATTAAGAGGCACACTCTCATCCTGATTTCTTTTGATCTTCGCAATGTAGTTTTAGTGTAAGGTAAAAACGATAGGCTCCTTTTCCAGCGATGTTGTTCGCTTTCCCTTCTAGTAGCTAGGATGTTAACTTTAAACTGTGTCTTCCACTTGGGCAAAATATACACACTTTGATTCCCAGAGCCTATCCTAAATGAAAGCATAATTTTTTGAAATGACTGAAATGAGGAATAAAGTCAGAGAGTCATTTGAATTCCTTCAGGGTTTAATCCCTGCTGGCTCTTTCAAATTTACTAAATTTATAACCAAAGGAAATTTGGGGTTGAGGAGGAGGCTGGCATGGTAAATGCAAACTAGAAATTAAAAGTGCCTGACGATTACACATAGAAATACAACACATACATGACTCGTGATAAACATACGATGTGATCTAGTGAAAGTTTACTAGGTACAAATTTGAAAGCACCCTTTCTTTTTTTCATTTTTTCAGCACATTGTACTTTAAATAAAGTACGCTTTCAAAACTGGATTATTAATCCAAATGTTTATCTGTGTTCCGTACTGAAATTAGAACAGGCACTTCCACTGTGAGTTTTACATGCACAAAATTATACATCAGGATAATTTACTTTGATACGCTTCTCCAGCACTTCCAAGAACTTAAATGTCAGTGTATACAAATTGCAAGTCACTCCTGCTGGAGAGTTCACAAGAAACGAAGGGTACCAAGAGCAGAAAAGTGAGCCGATTGAATGGAAGTGTAGAAACAGAGGTTTGTGCAGCGATGCTTCCTGGAAAGATGAAGATGATGCAGGTAAGTAAACTCAGCCTTAAATCTCCATTCCTTTGGCCACTATGAGCAGGGAGTTGGGATCTGTTTTAAGAGAATTGATAGCAGTCTCCTTGGCATGAAGGTATCATGAGCAGAGCAAACAAATATAACCCAGGATGCTGAGGAAGGATTCAAGGAATACTTATTCAACGTAAATAAAGGTTTTCCAGAGGTTTTTCCATCTCAGTCATCCAAATTACACAGCTCTGAGACCACAGTGGCAAAAATCTAGGAGGCAGGGAGCCGAGGTCCCTCAAAATCATAAAACCAAAAAGGCAGGAGCATCTGGAAATAGTACCAAATGCCATAGAAAAATATTAGAATGACTACTTTCTGATAAGTATACATGTTAAATATGGGATTTTAAATTTAGGTAGATGTGCAGTAACCTGTTAACCAATCATCTGCAAAGGGTTGAATTACAAGGGACTTTTACTGTCTATAATAGTTGAATATTTCAAAGCACATGTAGTAATCATTTAATCATATATATATATATATATATGCAGTTTTTAATGGGGAGATAATGAACATTGTTATCGGTGACACAGAAAAACCAACATCTCAGGAAACAATAGGCAAGGAAGATTGTCAAAGCATCTAGCAAACAAGTGACAGTGAATAAAAAATCATAGTCCAATATTCATTCTTAGTAATTGAAGGCCTATAAAATGTCATTGATACTGTCTTTATTTAGAGTGCACAGGTTCACTAGTAAATGATGTCTGTCTCTTTTGTTTTCCCATAAATTCCTCAAGGCTTTTTAGGAACCAAACTTTCACAGTTATAGAAGGACCACTGAGGCCGGGCGCGGTGGCTCAAGCCCGTAATCCCAGCACTTTGGGAGGCCGAGATGGGCGGATCACGAGGTCAGGAGATCGAGACCATCCTGGCTAACACAGTGAAACCCCGTCTCTACTAAAAAATACAAAAAACTAGCCGGGCGAGGTGGCGGGCGCCTATAGTCCCAGCTACTCGGGAGGCTGAGGCAGGAGAATGGCATAGAACCGGGAGGCGGAACTTGCAGTGAGCTGAGATCCAGCCACTGCACTCCAGCCTGGGTGACAGAGCGAGACTCCATCTCCAAAAAAAAAAAAAAAAAAAAAAAGAAGGACCACTGAAAGCTTAAATTTTAGATCTTATAATTTTTGTGTTCATATTGTTATTATTAAAGTTGCACTGTAGGCTGGGCACCGTGGCTAACGCCTGTAATCCTAGCACTTTGGAAGGCCAAGGTGGGTGTGTCACTTGAGCTCAGAGTTCCAGACCAGCCTGGGCAACATAGTGAGACCCCAATCTCTACAAAAAAATACCAAAGAAAATTAACTACACATGGTGGCACATGCTTGCAGTCCCAGCTACTTGGGAGGCTGAAGTGGGAGACAGTCTCGCTCTGTCGCCTATGCTGGAGTGCAGTGATGCAATCTTGGCTCACTGCAACCTCCACCTCAAATTTGCCTGGCAGGGTAGCGCACGCCTGTAGTCCTAGCACTTTGGGAGGCCAAGGCAGGCAGATCACCTGAGGTCAGGAGTTCAGGACCAGCCTGGCCAACATAGCAAATCCCCATCTCTACTAAAAATACAAAAAATTAGCCTGGCATGGTGGTGTGCGCCTATAATCCCCACTACTCTGGAGGTTGAGACAGGAGAATCGCTTGAACCCAGAAGGCAGAGGTTGCAGTGAGCCAAGATCAACCATTGCACTCTAGCCTGGACAACAAGAGCGAAACTCCATCTCAAAAAAAAAAAAAGAAATTCATATTGCTATATAAGTTATTTCAGTAATGTATATCATATGTTTGGTGGAAAAGTTAAAGGAAATACCAGGAAGGAAACAAACAGAACAGTCATCTTCAAAAGTAATTTGTGTTTAAGAATGTGAGGACTAAGTAGATGTTTTGCAGTACATTTTATATAGATACAAATCTTGCCCTCTAGGGATCTATACTTTAAGCCTGGCAGTAGTAGTTAACAAAGATAAACACAAAAGGACAAGTAGGCAACTAGAAAATAAACATAGAGGCCGGACACGGTGGCTTATACCTGTAATCCCAGCACTTTGGGATTTGGGCCAAGGTGGGAGGATCACAAGGTCAGGAGTTCAAGACCAGCCTGGCCAATATGGCGAAACCCTGTCTCTGTTAAAAATACAAAAACTAGGCCGGGCGCGGTGGCTCAAGCCTGTAATCCCAGCACTTTGGGAGGCCGAGACGGGTGGATCACGAGGTCAGGAGATCGAGACCATCCTGGCTAACATGGTGAAACCCCGTCTCTACTAAAAAATACAAAAAGAAAAAAAAAATACAAAAACTAGCCGGGCGTGGTGGTGGGCACCTGTAGTACCAGCTACTCAGGAGGCTGAGGCAGGAGAATCCCTTGAACCCAGGAGGCAGAGGGTGCAGCGAGCCGAGATTGCACCACTGCGCTCCAGCCTGGGCAACAGAGGGAGACGCCATCTCAAAAAAAGAAAAGAAAAGAAAAGAAAGAAAATAAAAGAAACATGGAAAAACATACAAATAGAAAGATTAAATATTTACATCCATTGTATACGAGATCATATTTTAAAAGAAATGCATCTGTGGGATTCAGGGGGAAGGGCAGGGGTGAGAGTAGTCATAGCAGACAACCGTATCTATTCAGAAGAGGGTGACAGAACACATTCTGCTGGCAAGTATCATAAACTAGAAATTTTCAGGCCAGGCACGGTGGTTTATACCTGTAATCCCAGCACTTTAGGAGGCTGAGGCAGGCAGATCAGTTGAGGTCAGGAGTTCAAGAACAACCTGACCAACATAGTGAAACCTCGCCTCTACTAAAAATATTAAATTAGCCAGGCGTGGTGGCAGGCGCCCATAATCCCGGCTACTCTGGAGGCTGAGGCAGGAGAATTGCTTGAACCAGGGAGGTGGAGGTTGCAGTGAGCCAGGATCATGCCACTGCACTCCAGCCTGGGCGACAGAGTAAGACGCTGTCTCAAAAAGAGAAAGAAAGAAAAAAAAGAAAGAAAAAGAAAGAAATGGAATAGACAGCCCTATTCATCACCCTGCAGGCTGAAGCCTAAATTCCTTGGCTTGGCTCACTAGGTCCTGGAGAGCCCCTGCTACCCTCTGGCCAATGTGCTCATCTCTTCCCCGGCTTTCCCTCTCACCCGACCACCAGTTTTCAGAACTCCTTCTGGTGGGCTACAAACCACCAGGCTGTCCCATCTCCCTTCCCCTTTCCACGAGGCCAGTTCCTACTTTTTCTTCGGCTTTCGCTTTAGACCTCTGCCCTCTGTGAGAATGGCTGTGTCCACCTAAATGCTTCTGCCAACCTCGTGCTTTCCCCACTCACAGCTCTCATTGCCTATAATGAAAGTGCCCAGATAAATGTCTGTATCGTCCCTAAGCCCAGCGGAGATGGCAGTCGTTATCTGCCTTATTTCCCCTATTCAGCAGCAGCTCAATGAACAGTTGTAGAGTAACTGAAATAAATATGAAAATATAGGTTAGGTGTTAGAAAAAGAACTAAGAGGATCCTTTATAGGAGTGTGTATCTATTTTATTTTATTTTTTGAGACAGGGTCTCACTGTCACTCAGGCTGAAGTGCAATGGCACAATCTCAGCTCACTGCAACTTCCACCCTCAGGGCTCAAGCAATCCTCCCACCTCAGCCTCCCAAGTAGCTGACTACAGGCACACACCACCATGGCCGGCTACTTTTTTGTATTTTTAGTAGAGACAGGGGTCTTGTCATATTGTCCAAGCTGGTCTTGACTGCCTGAACTCAAAGCCATCCACCTGGCGCAGGCCTCCCAAAGTGCTAGGATTATAGGCTTGAGCCACGGCCACTGGCCAGGAGTGTTTATTTTATTTTATTTTATTTTATTTTATTTTATTTTATTTTATTTATTTTTGAGACTGAGTCTCTCTCTATTACCCAGGCTGGAGGACAGTGGCGCAATCTCGGCTTATTGCAACCTCCACCTCCCAGGTTCAAGAGATTCTCGTGCCTCAGCCTCCTGAGTAGCTGGGATAACAGGTACCCACCATCACACCTGCCTAATGTGTTTATTTTTGAAAAAAAGAAACTGTATCTTTAGAGAAAATGTATACATGCATACTTTGCTACATTTTTGTTGATTGTTACGTTTTACATTTGTGTAACAACACAGGCAAGTCATCTTTGGGCTCCTAACCACATCTTTCATGGAACATCAAGCCTACGCTGAGGTACAGGCTTTCAGAAGCCTGAATTTGGAGGACCATGCCTGATCCAAATGGAGCCTCCAGAATCAAAAGTGGTCAAAATAATCATTCATGGTCCCCAGACCAAATAAGATCTCCTTAGAAACATTTCTCAGGCTGCGCACGTGGCTCGCAGATCGGGCACGGTGGCACACACCTGTAATCCCAGCACTTTGGGAGGCCAAGGCGGGCGGATCACCTGAGGTCAGGAGTTCGAGACCAGGCTGACTAAACATGGAGAAACCCCGTCTCTACTAAAAATACAAAATTAGCCAGACGTGGTGGCGCATGGCTACTCAGTCCCAGCTACTCAGGAGGCTGAGGCAAGGGAATTGCTTGAAACCAGGAGGCAAAGGCTGCGGTGAGCTAATATCGCACCATTGCACTCCAGCCTGGGCGACAAGAGCGAAACTCCGAAACTCCATGTCCAAAAAAAAAAAAGAAACATTTCTCTGAGCCAAAATAATGATGAGGAGGAAATGATTACAGAATAGCATATATGTATCATAATCTTATGTAAAATGGTGTAAATCTATAATTATGTATGCGTACAATATGTGCAAAGTAGTAATGTTCATCAAGTTGTAAACAATGGTTATCTCTGGACTAGGATTCCAAATGACCTTTCCTTTTCTTTCTTTTTTTTTTTTTTTTTTGAGACAAGTCTCACTCTGTTGCCCAGCCTGGAATGCAGTGGTGCAATCATGGCTCACTGAAGCCTCAACCTCCTGA